TCCCTCTCCATTTGATACGAGGGTTAACCGTGTGAACAGTCAGGCGATGAGAGTGCGCACAGTGTATCCACCGATATATGTCAATTTATAAATGTAGTGTTGATGTGCGATGTTTCCCGGTGCTGCAGTTTTGAGAGCCAAAGACTGGATGGTCGAGGAACCGGTACCGGCGTAAACAGGAAGCTGATATGGCTGCTGATGGAGTTAGGTGCGGGGAAGTTGAGCTCCAACTGATGAAATGTAGGCAAAGCTATCAGAGACATTGAATTATCATAGGCTATATTCTGCTGGGTACTTTACCACACTCAGAGACTTAGTTCGATGAACTAACTATGATGATATAGTCCTTGTACAAACGGCCAGGAAACAGAACACCCAAACGGAACAGTCAAAAGCATCGGTGAATAACGCATAGCTGTAATAGATTAAGAGCCTCACGTTTCCCCTTCAGACGACGTTTTATGTCCGATGACACCACGAACCCCCCAGCGGGAGTTGATGACGGTTCTTACCATTTTCCCTATTAGGTTGCTCACAGCAAAACGCCCGTCTCATGATTAAGTGTAATAGATTATGAACTCGCCGATTTTTTACTACCCTTTTCTTCGAGTTTTTTTTCACAAAATGCTGTTAAGTGGTCGTCTAAATTAAAAAAACAACTGAAGATTCTTGGGTGAGAAGTAAATTAACGTTTGAGTTTATTTCTCAGTAATCTTGGGGCTCAGTAAGAGTAAGACACTCAACAGAAATGCAGTCGCCAAAAAAGTTCTACTCATACTGCTTAGAGACGCTCGCAATTTCAGCGAAGATATCCACTCTTCTGTTAGCATAATGGACAGTGGCGGTTAGCTGACTCGTTCTGGCTGCACGAAAGTCACTGATAGCCGGCCACTGATAGCTAGCGATCGTCAAGCTAGCAGGCTAGGGTAAGACTTACCATCTAGACATAAGTAAGTGGTTGTCCCCTCACACTAGTTCATTAGCCGGCCACTATGGCTTAGGAACAATTCTACTCAGTAGGAGTTAGAGTGGCTTGGAATGAGCTGGCAGGCAAACTACTGCTGACCTTCAAACATGAGCCAGATAAATCCTAGACCCAGCTAACCACCGATCGGAGGGTTACTCGCGTGTGGACAGTAGCGGGATGGAAAACTGGTCCGATTTTGCAACGACTTGGCGATCGTCAAGCTAGCGGGCTAGGGTAAGAATTACCGTCTAGATATATGTAAGTGGTTGTCCCATCATACTAGTTCATTAGCTGGCCACTATGGCTTAGGAGCTGCTCAGGTAAGTTAGAGTGGCTTGAAATGGGCCGCCGGGGAAAATACTGCTGA